TTCGCAGCACATTGGTCAATTAATCGTTCTTGACGCAGTAGCTTCTACATAATACAAAACAAAAATTACAATTATCATTTTAAATATATTTACTTAATTTTGCATATACTTACAGTGAGTTTATGTGAAATTACAAATTATATTTTATTTAAATTTTTGTTTTTTATTTGATTTTAAAAATTAAAAATTGTTCACTGTTCGCACTTCACTAAAATCAAAAGCAGACTAAATGTATACAATGTAGGCAAAACAAGAAATTCTTAACTCATATGCTTTTCTTCTTCATTCTTTTATAATTTCAACCCCGAAATTGCCTATGTCAAACACAAATGTCGAAAACAAAGAAAAATAAAAACGAAGAGCTATTACCTCCTCGCTTACTTTTTCAGCGCTGGCATAATGGTGCCGCTGGGTACGTTCACACACACACACACACGAACACACACTACAAATGCAAAAGTGAATGAAATAAAACAAATGCCGGGAAAATCACAACTGCAGGAACATCACCGGGCATTCACCAATTTGTGCACGGAACTGCATTCAACTGCAATCAATTTTATTTACACTTGCATTCCAAAGGGGCATTTATTAAAAATATTATTACATATTTATCATATAATATTATCATTTGAACAATAGGCGTGTTTTTATTTGAGTTGTCAAGCTCAGTGATGGTTCTTGTCCGCAATTACTTCCACAACAACAACAACAAAACGCACTTCAGTCGAAAGTCAAAAGTGTGGCTAACTGACAAATTAGCTGTTGCACTTTTCCTCCTTGTGACATTTCAATAAATTATATTTACTTTTCTGTTGTCATTACACTAAAATGAATTTTGCAAATTTTTTAAATATAAATTCATTAAACTAATTGCGATAATATTTGTTGTTGATCGATGAACGTCATACAAAATTTTAAAGTTGATGTGATATAAATTGAATTTAAAAAAATATAATTGACAGTTGATAATGAAATTGGCAGCTGTCTTAAATGCAAAAAGGAAAACAATGAACTTTTTTATTAGAATGAAAATAAGTCATACCAAACAAAATTTGTGTAATGCAAAAGCTTTTAACATATAAATTAATTTGAACCAAACCAAAAAAAAAAAATTTTGTGATTTGTCCTCACTGGTTAAGTTTATGACCACCCGCAAGTGGTACGGTACCATTCTTCACGACGTACGGTACGCACAAGTCAACCATTTTGATTATGATAGAAAGCATTGTAAGAAATATCACTTATTATTTATTGATTTCCAATAACAAAATAGAATAAGATTTTATTAATGGAATAATTGCAATAAATCTTATAATCTAGAGATCCCAAATATAATTTATATCTGAAAATTGTTTCATATATATTGTATGTATATTAAATAAGTAATATATGATGAAAACAAACTGAAAAATTTATTAAAATCAATTTAGCCCAGCCTAAGATCACTTTTTTAACAGCTCATTAATAAATAACACTTACTAAGACGCTGTTAAAATTTTTTTATGTTTTAAAGAAATATTTTATACAAATATTTTGGACTACTTCGTAGAACATCTTCAGTGTAGACTGGAGAAAGAGTTTGGAGTCTGGATTCTGGATTCTCACCAGAGTTTTGTTTGTAATTTTAGCTGTCAAAAATTTTAATTTTTAATTAAAAGCAAGAACTAAAATTACAAACATGTAAGCTGAAATAATTATATAAAATTATATTAAAAATTATAATATATTAAATTATATTAAAAATTTAATAATTACTAATAATTTAAATTGTTAAATTATCCGAATAAATTAAATTAATTAATATTATTAATTTAAAAATTATTGACTATTAGTTAATATTTTAATTAATTATTATTATTACACAAATAGGATCTAAAATATTTGTCTAAGTCGATAGCATAAGTGTTAAACAAAAGCATAAGTGTTCAAAAAAATAGCACAATTAATAATCATAATCAAAATTTACAGTTTGACAGCTGTAGTTTTATTTAGCGCGCTGAACGTTGCTTTGTGCTACACCAATATCTCTTAAATGTTTTCATGATTCAATAAATGATTTGAATATTTGTGCCAAAGAATAGACTAAGAAAAGATTAAATTCGCTCATTTTAAGTGATAAAATAGAAAACCTTTTTCAAAAAAAGTTTAACCAATTGGACTATAAATATTGACTTGACATACTTCGAATGTTGAGATAAACATACATTATAAATATATATAATAAATTGTATACATTTATATACAGTATTCTTTCAATCTTATAGTAATATTGCTTAATATGTGTAAGTCAATTCCAATTTCCGTGGTTTTCAGTATTCCCGGAAAACGCTGAAACCGACTTTCGTGGATATAAGTGGAAATACTGAATGTAAGATAAACATTGTCTTACTTAAAATATTGTGGTGAACATCAAATTAAATACAATGAGAAATACATTTTTAATGCTTGTTTATAAAAAATGACTAAATATTTTTTAAAATAACATTTTAGTAATATTATTTAGGTGAAATATGATACAGTTATTAATAAAGAAATATATTTTTTATTAAATCAAATATATATAAGGCATTACTAATTTTATTTCGTTTAAAATTTTATTTTTAATAAAATTAGTAATACTCACGTCTCTAAAAACCAATAATACTACATCTGTTAAAGTACATATTTATATTAAAAATATATTAACCAGTTTCTTATGTATTAATATATTCCAATCGAGTACGCAAACTAAACACATATATAGTTAAGTTTATATAGCTATTATATATATTTGTATATACTAATTTTAGTAACAGTAATGCTTACATTACTAAAAATAAAAAATGAAAAATCTGTTAGTTTACATATCGTCGGAGCACAATAGATCCAACGGTCGCAGTGCCACATCCCTTAACAATAACAATAGCTAACATATTTGCAGTAAAAAAAAAAGTTTCTAGAATTTTACTTTATTTAGTTCGAATGCGCAAACTAAATACGTATATGACATTAAATTTATTTACACGTATTAATTTTATTTGGAATAAAATCAGTATTGCTTATATTTTTAAAAACAAAAAATATTAAGTCTGATAGAGTAAGTTTTGTAGTAGTAATAAAAATAATAAAAAGTCACTCGAATTTTACAATATTTCGTTCAAGTACGCAAACAATTGTTAATTAGAAGAATATGTAGAAGCGAATGGCACTGCGTACTGTACAAAACTGATAAATTTTGATTGTAAAATATTGACAAGTATAAATGGTAAAGTTTAAAAGCACTCAATCTTATTGTAAAAGAGATTAATTATATGTAATTTAATTTTAGAATTAAAATAAAAATAGTAATTATATATTTATTTCAATGTTTTATGTTCAATATTAAACATAAAATAATACTGTCCAAAGAAATTTAGTTAAATGATTTTTTCAATTTTGTCTATTACTTAGCAAAATAAAAAGTTCCTTCAGAAGAATTGTGCAAACTATAAAAAATAGAGGGAGTATTCAAAACAATTTAGTTAACTTTTTTTATACTAGTAAGGAAATTTGCATGTACTTGTTTGAGAGGGAATACGTTGATTTTTCTTCCATTTTAATTTGTTACTAGAAAAGTACTCAAACAAAAATATTATTTACATATATTTCAACTATTGTTACAAATAAAAATTAACAAAACATTAAATTCTTTAAATAAAAATTCGTGTAAAGTAATTTACTTTAAAAATTAGTATGAAAAAAATTAAATTGTTTTTATTGTTGTTAATTTTGTTATTGAACATTAAGCCCTATACAACGTCATAATAATAATTTTGTTAAAATAAAAAATCGTGTTAAGTAATTTACTTTAAAAATGTGAATGAAAAAATTGAAGTTTTTTTTTGTTTTTATTTTTGTTAATTTTGTTATTGAACAAAATTATTATTGTATAAGCCCTATACAACGTCATAATAATAATTTTGGTCAAAAAAAAATTAAATATATAAAAAATTTTATTAGTTATACAGATTATGTTTAATTACTATTTATTATTTACAGATTAATATGTCTATACATACATTTTGTACGATCTAGCAGGCTATAGATTTTTAATTACTTGTTATTAAAATGTCAAAAATATATATAAATTAGTGTTGTTTAGTTACTCGCTAATAGTTATAAAAGTTATTTAAAGGTATTAATTATTTTAAAGTTTTTTTAGCTGCTTAAAACAAATTAATTTTTATGTAATCTTATTGTTCCTAAATTAATATTTGTAAATTTTTATGCGTAATACCATTTTATTTTTACAATTTTTATTATACTATTTCTACATTTGGAGTTCGTTTTTTTGTAAGAGGTACAGTATGAAAAATATATGTTTTTATAATTTCAAGTCAATTATTTTGGTTAAACACTTGTATTATATAGTAAATGTAAAAATAATTGATATTTACATAATTTATATATATAAAATATTTCATATAATATTATTTTTTTTATATATAATTTTGTTAAAATTCATTTCAAGCTCTAAAATCATATGCCCACCAAATACAACACTGCGTGCTGTCATGTGCACAAGAAATGTCAAATTAAATTTCGATATTAATGTCAGCCCATCGCTAATGCAAATCGGTAGAATACGCTGAACAAAGCAGATTTGGAAGAATTTTCGCTAGAATTTTTCAAACAGGAGGGCAGCGAAAGTCCACGCGATTTGTATAAATTTTTACTGAAAATTAACGTTTAATTACTTAAGAAACTAAAAAACTTCTAAATAAACATTTGTGGGTGCTTAATTATTACAATAAATCGGTAATATATTTTGTTGAATTGTTAAAAATATATTTGCAATTGCAAAGGAAAAAAAACTGCACGGCGGCGAATGTGTGAATAAGAAGAGATGATTAAAAAAAATTTGCAAAAAGCAATTGTAAAAGGCTGGCATAAAATGTTCAAGATTTTTCTATTTTATTATTTATTTTGCTTTAATTATTTTTTTTTTTTGTGATTTAAGTATTTTGTCCGACTTTTTGTTCACGGTTTGTGTACGTTGAAATATATTTAACGCCGGCTATTAAATGAACATAAGTTGATATTGAAATTATGCTCAGAAGAGAAAATTTATTGGCTAGCGACGAGACCGAGACCTCAGCTTGTAATTAAAAGCGCCGGTTTGTCAAAAAAATACAAAAAAAAAACAAAGTCTCAAAAACTATAAATACTCAAAATTTTGTCTTTATTTTTTTTTTTTTGTGGTTTAGAGGTTGACGTATACGTGAGTTGATGGCAGAGAATTTTTATATAGTAGCGTCATCGCTAGCCGTCAACCGTTTCTATTCTTTTTTTTTTTTTGTGATACAACACTCTCAAATATATTTTATATCAAATAAACAAACTCTTTTTCGTTCTGACTTTTCCAGGAGCTGTAAGCACAAAACTACATAAAACAAAAAAGCAAAAGAGAAACAAAACAGTAAAATTACAGAAAAGACTGATTAAAAACCTTTGGCAGGCTTCAAGGAGGTGGAAAATATACAGAAACCAAAAGTGTTAACATTTCCATCACGTGCCCGAAGACATTTGGATTTTTTTCTTGCTTTTTGTAAACTTGTAAACATTGTTACATTTTTAAGTTCTGATTTTGTAATTTGTAATTCTTCCTCTATAAATTTGGTTTACGAAGTGTAAATAACTCTGAAACAAAATGGACGATTTAATGATCGAAGTAAGACTTGACAATGGCGCCTATTACAAGGTAAGTTCAATTCTTTTCTATTCATGCATTTCCTCCAGTTCACGTGATTTAACAAAATCTGTTATATCGAAAAAATATGCAAAATTGTATAAAGTGTGTTTTTGAATGGGAGTGTCGCGTCTACATTAGTTTCGTATCATTATCAACGTTGCTTGATTTCACGTGTGAACTCCTTAGCCCGTCATATACTTTAGCAATATACCAAATTGCTTTGTTTATGTTTTCATTTAGCAAAACATAAAATCATGCATAATTGTTTGCACTTAATTTTAATGACTTCAATTTATTCATCTTCCTTCCCTCCTTTATACGATCTTTCTTTAGTCTTTGCTTTTGTTTTTTCCTTTTCTTTTTTTTTTGTTTTTTTTTTTTTGCTAAACTCAGCAGCTTATAGCTTCTTTTTCCCGTACGGTGCAATGTGGTGCGCTACATTCTAAGATAAATAATCGCATTGTTGCAATTTTGTCTACTTCTATTTACGGGAACAAACCCACACACATATACATACATACATAAATACATGTAAACACAGACCAATTTTTCTAACCTCCAGAATATTTAGTATATTTCAGTACACTGAATACCGTATTTTAATATATACAAAAGTTCGGGAAGACACACTATTATATCCGTATATGTGTTATTATCTGTGTATAAAATAGTAAATTGGGGGAAAAACCTTTTTTACTATTGCTACAGTTATTCACACATTTTTAGTATGATAAAATCTTCATAACATGTTCAGTAGAGACATAAAACTATAATAAAAATTAATATTTATAATATTATATATATTTAATAGTATATGTTTATATTATTATATATATATTTATAATATTAATATTGAATTTTTTTTTTACTGTTTTTTCGTCGAAAGGAAAGAAAAGCCTGCCTACGCAGTGACCATATTCCGGCACCATATGCAGTGGGTACGCGACTTCCATGAACTAAACTGCTACCCTTTATTTTTAGGCACCTTATTCTACCCCGAGACTATGTTGATATTAGTTCGATGTAAGACCCTTATTATTCATTTAAGGCTGCAGATTGTGATATATGGTATTATTACTTGCTCAAGCTGCCTTCTGCTTAAATCAACTTTTTTCAGCCTCAGTAGCTCTTCAGCAAATATTACTAGCGTTCCCAGTTTGCTCGGTTTTCGATCATTTTTTCTGTCACCGTTCTTAGGAGAAAAACATCAACTTGCGTTGCTAGCACATCTAAAAGTGCTATATATGCTAGATATTTGCTATATAGATATTATATAAAATTAAAGTCTAACTTCTATAACTTAAAGTACCGCTTTGCAAAGAAAAGGTTCAAATTATGGAGACTTCGAGTTAAGAAATTTGTTTGTTGTTGTATGCACTTTGCTCTCTAAACCTTGTTGCACTCTATTTGGATCGAGTTATTGAAAATTCGAGTTATTAAAGTTTGACTGTATTTTAAATGTATGCTAATGAAATAATTATGATGGTTCCAACGATCTACTTAGATGTATTGATTGTTGTTGTTACGTTTGGATTACGCTGTTATGGTCCCATTTGGAACATTCAACGTGACACAGGGGACTGGCTGTTTAATTTCGTGTTAATTTATATCTACATATTAATAAGCTGCTAGCATGTTTTATTCAACCGTTTTTATAACTTTTATTTTTTTAAGTCTATAGTGTCGGGTGGGACTTGGTCATCTGAAAAAACTATTAACTCTGAGACGTAGATTCGTCTTATTATTTTTAGACCATAATAGACCATTATTTTTAGATTCCTATACAATTTTACTTTATTCTTGTATGTACAAACATATCATTTTCTAGTGCCTTTGTCGATACATAATCAATAAGACTTGTTTTTGAATGTCCTCTGTCTCTGATATGCGCTAGGCTGTACTTCAAAATCTGAAACACATTAATTCTTTAAGTCTTTCTTGTTATCATTTCTATTTCACTAAGGTACTATAATTAACTAATGCTATATAATAATTTTATTTTCGTATTCAAAAAGAAATAAATACAGTCAAACTTCTATAACTCGAATTTCTCTATAACTCGAACAAAAATTTTGTTCCGTGCCGATAGGATTATATGGGAAAGTGCATTGTTTAAGACAAATTTTTGTTTTAAGTATAAATGCATTTTGCTGTTAGGGGAAGTCCCTTTATCCAAACCAAATGTTTAATTTTTTTTTTATGTCGCTTCTTTGTGCAAATGTAGTCACTGGCAGCGTGTTAAACCACGTAAATAAAATAACTGCCAATGCTGCTTTTAACGATTACATTGAGTTTGAAAATGAAATTTGTGCATCAAGCTTTTCTACAGATGACGATGTTATTGACCCCTATAACTCTAAATTACTGGATCCAATTCTGAGCGTAACGGAAAGTGATGATTTTCATCATTCAGTGGATGTGATTGTTCAGCAGCCTTCCAAGAATGAAGTAGAAGACTTATTCAAAATTCTGAATTTATATTTGCAAAAGAATAATACAACAACTGATGATCATTATAAAAGTATGAAAGTATAAAAGTATAAAGTGGAAACTCTTTTTACTGAAAATAAGAAAAAAATTAAACTCCCAAATCCTAATTTCTAAAAATTTTATTTCACTATAACTGATTTATCTGATTTCAAATAAATAAATATCTTAAAATGTAATTCTAGTAACTTTCAAAAATAAAAAAAAATAAAGAAATTCTCTAACTCGAAGTCTCCATAAGTCGAACCTTTTTGTTGCAAAATTGGACTTCGAGTTATGGAAGTTTGACTGTATATTACTTTATGCGTAAATTCCCCCTATGCTGGGTTGACTAGTATTTTGAATATCGGTGCAAGCTTATGCTGTTTGTATAGTTACGATACCATTTGTATAGTTACGATACCATTTGCTCGCAATTGAGTAGAAGATTCGACTATATTAGATCTTTTGAGCTACAACTTAGAGTAAATGAACACAACAATCACCTGCTTAGACTTTTGTTACTCATTGAGGAGTCACTGATATTACATGCAGTTGATATTGTCATACTGTTATATGGTAATTCCTTTACTTCACTCCTTATGGCTTTACAGTTTTTAATCTGTTTTGGTTTGCCTCTTCAGATGTTTTCGTTTATGTGTTACTCAGATGCCCATTGTTGTTGTGGTAGTCCTTAGGAATCTGTTAACACATAATATGAAACACGACGAATACATAGGTAAACATGTGAATGGTTATTAAAAAGCTTTTATATTAAATAATTCTTCATATATTAATATGGTAGTTTTAGAAATAGATCTCTGTAAAACATGCCATCTCTTCGATATTTTTTCTTTTTAACGATTATAATATAAAACTGTTACATTTAGTATATATTAAAAATATACTATATGAAAGCAAATGTTTTCTATATTTATATTGACTTCTTCTACTTTATATTTAATTAGAACACTTTTCTGTCAATAGTTATAACAATTCTTATTATTTAGTTATATATTTTGCTCGAAGAAATAGATTTTCTTAATTTTCTCAACATTTTTTTACATTTGGTCTTCCATTGTTCCACTTGCGATTTTGGAACAATTTTTTTTTTAAATAATTGCTTTATGAAAATTTTGTATTACATTAGTTATAGTTACTGTCTTTCTCTAATAATTTAATATATTGTAGATCCAAGCTTTCTTTGTTATACAACACCGAAATATACCAACAGAACTTCTCTGCCATAATCAGTTCCTGCAATAACTGTGAATAGAGATATAATTGTCTCTATTATTATATCTGTCTCTCCACTTAATTTTAATATAAGAGTTTTATACACTCGCTCTTCGATACTTTTGTGTAATTATATTTCTAGCTCTTTTACATATTACACAGAAGTTTAATATATATGTATATATGTGTATATATATATATATTATTAACTTTCTATGAAAATTGCAATTTTTAGCTGAAGTTAGTATCATTGAACTTAGGAGAGTTAAATACATGCAAGGCATCTATTCCAAGTAAATGCTACGGGAAATGTTGGATATCGTATATACATTATCCTTGTCATACCTAAAAGATACAAAACTCAAAAACCAGATACCTGTTCTTACGTTACGATATGTGGAGGTTGAAATTAGCATATGCAAATTCTTTGAAATTAATAGGCAACGCATATCGTACAATCACAATAACTACTGATACCTGATTTATATTACGATATATGTAAGCAATGCAATAAAATAATTACGATATATGGTTCGAAAAGATAAAACAAAGTATATCATATAGTTCCACGATTATTAATATTTGGCGTTATAAGGTGAAGGTACCACATATCGTACTTTCGTGTTATATCTGAAGAATGCAATAATAATAATTGCTGATAAACGCTACGATATATGTAAGCAAGACAATAATAAAAGAACTAAGATAGTACTTCGTATAGTATAGGATATAAGAATATAGAATATAAGAACAAAAACTCCAATTACCTGTTTTTATGCTATAATTATTGTTCTTTTTCACTTTTGGGCCTCTTAATTTCAACAGTAGTATAAAGCTTAACATTTCTTTGTTAAGAAAACGTATAAATAATTTTTTTAAGATTAGTTAAGATGTTCTAGAGAATATTTTAATAAGAAGTTTTTTTAATTACATAGACATACTGCTTCATATATATTATAGTATGTTATGTACTATGTACTCTATATGTGCTTTCAGTTGGCTCTTATGTATAATACTTGGCTGCTATTGATTATATAAACTATTTATTTGTCATTAAAATCATCTATATTATATATATGAGTATATTTTCATACTCGTATAAGAAGAATGCGAAAAAAATATATTAATAATGAGTCATCTAGCTCATGTTTTTTTTTTTTTAAATAGAACACCCGAAAGAATTTTTAACATAGATATTTTATTATTATATACAATGTTCTTTAAATATAAAAATATGTATATTCCTAAAAATTATTGAGCACTAAACTAATTTTATATCAATTTTTCAGGGAGTTGTGACGTCTGTTGCGGAGGATGGAGTTTTTATTGAACACGATGCGTAAGTTTAATATAAATCAATATAATTTGATTAATAATATATATATATATATATAATAATAATATATATATATGTATATAATAATAATAATATATATATATATATATATATATAATAGAATGTTATTATAATAAATAACATGTGAATGTTTATGGAAAATTATTTCATTTTAAAACTCGACAAAATTTTAAGTGTTTTATTTATCTATACTTTTATATATATATATATTTTTTTTATGTTATGTATGCATTTTTATACGAAATAGTTTCTTTTATTTATTTATTTTATTTGAATTTTTTTTTTCGATTTTATTTTATCTTTTAACAAATCGGATGAAATTAAAACTTTGTGCTAGAAGAAAAAATAAACCTACAGCAGCATATCGTTGTCAATATTAGAAACTTCAGCTATTTTTGTAAACTGTCAAGCGAATGTGCTAAGAATTAGGAAAACAGAATCTAGAGAGAAACTATTTTTAAATGAAATTTTTATATATTTTGTCTAAAATGCATTTAATGGTTTTTTGGAATATATATCTTAATATATATAAATACATATATATATATATGTATTTTTTATGTATATATTGTTTATTTTTATTGCTTTGATCAGCTGGGCGTTGTATCCGTTCGTCTCATGATCAACAATAGTTTTTTACTTTTGAGCTATTTTAAGTAGGCCAACATATCAAGCAGGCGAAGATGCACACACACATAATAAATTGAATATAAATTATTAAAATTCATTTTACACTTTATACACTTTATATATATATATAATATTGTATTAAATTTATATTTCCTTCCCGTGTGGTTTGATGTCAATGTTTGCAGTGCTTTCGCGTTGATCGAGGAATAAGATTGTTTAGAAATGCTTCCCTTGTTGGCATTTATCCAATTGCATGAATGTTGTGTTTCACTTTTCTACATTAAGCCTACTAAGTCATTATGACTGTTTCAAAATTATTATTAAAATAAAATTAATTAGGAAAACTTTATACAAACACCTGTTCAATAAATGTGAACCCAGTTGAATTTTTTATTCAATCTATATGAAGTATACCTTATATATATTTATATATATATAAATGTAATATAAAGAAAAAACTTTTTTATTAAAAATATTTTAATTATAACTCTTTTTTTTATTTATTTCAGCTCGCCTGATGTACAAAAGTTTCCCTTTGCAAGCGTACGTTTTCCACCAAAAGAGCCTGAAGCACCGCCCGCCTATGAAGAAGGCATGGAGGTAGAGGTCTTTACACGATCAACAGATGTGGAAGCATGCGGTTGGTGGATTGGTGCGATAAAAATGATTAAAGGTGAAATTTGTGCTGTGGCATATATAGGTTTCGAAACGCCATATACCGAAATCTGCGAAATGAAAAGAATGCGTATAAAAAATCCTAATCCGCCAATAACCGCAAAATCATTTTATCAATTCTCGATATTAGTGCCCGAAGAATTGCGAGAAGAGTAAGTTGCGCTATATTGTTATGTATATTAGATTATTTAATTTGTATTTGTATTTATTTATTTCATTTATTTATTTTTTATAGTCAATCCAAATTTTAAAAATAAGTTTATTTTTGTAGAACGTAGGAATCTGTTTCTGGAGTTCGTTCTGATTAGGACTATGTTATGCAGACCGTTATGGTCACATTATGTAAAATTGTTGTTCTCAATGCAAATTAAAAATTGGAGAATGAGAGTAAGATAGAAATTTCAATAGAATTTTAGTCACGGTCAGGACACTTTTTGTGTTTCGTTACGTTGATCAAAACAATGTTGCTCAGTAATAAATGACAGAATTTGCGTATATTAGGAGGCAATATTCAAATGTTTTGTTTGAGTGTATGTGAGTATATATTAAGTATTACCTCTTAGGCACAAACAAAAAATTACAACCTAATACTAACAATACCTCAGTATTGAAATTGGTAATAATGATTCGCATAACATGTCCTTATGGTTACGATCTGAAAGAGAATAGAACTGTCGAAACTAGTTGTCATGTAAAGTTAATTCACAGAGTTTTTAGAAGAATAAAATTTCATTTAAGGGTCATTCATTTCATTTGGGTATAAGTCTGAAATATTATGAATATATTAAAATAAAATATCCAATTATATATAGGTCAATTGGGTTTACTCTCTAGTTGTTGAGCAACAGTTATTTGATTTGCGAAAACGATTGGGAATATAATTACGTTCAGAATTGATTCTAATGTATTTCGATTGTAAAAGAGTTGACTTAAACTGTTACCTGAATGTGAATAACTGAACAATTTAATTCTGAGTTAATGTGTTATGATTTTATATATTATAATAAAATTATATATATATATATTTGTTTTTATACGTTATTATATTATATTATATTATATTATATTATATTATATTATATTATATTATATTATATTATATTATATTATATTATTATATTATATTTATATTATATTATATATTATATTATATTATATATATATTATATTATATATATATATTATATTATATTATATTATATTATATATATTATATTATATTATATTATATTTATATTATATTATATTATATTATATTATATTATATTTATTATATATTATATTATATTATATTATATTACTATTATATTATAGTATATTACATTATTATTATATGTTATATTATTTTATGGTTTATTGTAATGTATTGTATTTAAATATAATTTTCTGCATTAATGTTAATAAATTTTATATTTTTTGTAGAGCACAAAAAGAGGGTATACATAAAGCATTTCAGCGTCTAATCAATGCAGGCGTTTGTGTATATAACACAGAAATAAACAGCTTAGTTGTGATTTCAAAATGGGAATTTGCTCAAAAGCGTGCCGATATGCTAAAAGATATGCATTTCCGCAATCTTTCACAAAAAGTTTGTATTTCATATTTATACTTGATCAATATGTGAAAGAGTCTAACGTCTTTATTTTCTTAGGTTATGCTTTTGAAACGTACAGAAGAAGCTGCCCGTCAGCTAGAATCGACTAAACAACTAAATCGTGGGTAAGTTTTAAATACAAAATAGTAATTACTATCAAGCTATCTGATATATATTACAATATATATCTATAATACCAAATATATAACATAATATGTACATATTACTGCTGAAAAGTTCATTTTAATACTCAAGTCGTTCTAGTATATTGAAATTAGACTATTTGGATCGAACATTTTAAATTTGATTTACGTTTTATTATATTATATTATACTTTATTTTCGTTTTGTTCGATACAAATACATTACTCTTGACCTCAGCTCTCGTTCAGCTAATTTCTGAAATGTGGTTTTCACACTACGGTGGAAATCGTTTGTTTCCATTAATACTTAAGTGGTGGTTTTAGTGGATTAAAATACAAATAGATATAATAACAAATGTTCGAACACGATGTGGTGCCCGATCATTTTCAAACGATTGGATGCGCTCGAGTACAAATATACTCGGTTATCAGAATTTTTGAATATTCGAATAATTCGTATAATATTTGAAAGAATATATATATTAATTAAAATTTTTCTAATAATGTAGTATTTATACAACTATACTACTAATAAATTTTTTTTGTATATTTGTACACTTAAGATAGACCAAAATATTTCTAATGTAAATATATTTTTTATAAAAATAAAATATTTAACATAAAATAATAAGTGTAATTTTTTATAATTTTATGTGTTAAATAAACGAACCTAAGGCTGGAAATAATCAAACAACTTGTTGTAAATTAGTTGTAATAATTAATTAATATAATATATGTACTTATTTGTCTTCAGAAATGATATATTAAAACCATAATTTTTTACCATAGCTTTACAGACGAATTTCATGTACGCCAAGATTTAATGGGTTTAGCTATCGGATCACACGGTGCAAATATACAAGCTGCCCGATTGTTAGATGGTGTGACAAATATTGAACTGGAAGAGAAATCTTGTATGTTTAAAATAACCGGCGAAACAGAACAGGCTGTGCATGCAGCACGTGCTTTATTAGAATATTCGGAGGAATTTTTTCAAGTTCCTAGAGATTTGGTTGGCAAAGTGATTGGCAAAAATGGTCGTATAATACAGGAGATTGTTGATAAAAGTGGTGTTTTTAGAATCAAAGTATGTAAAGAATATGTGCGTCTTTCGTTTTGTTCACCTATATTAATATCTTTTTATTCAAATTTAACAATGAAACAAATTTTAGATCGCTGGCGATGACGTACAAGATCTGAATATACCACGTGAAGCTGCGCATGTACCATTTGTGTTCATTGGAACTGTAGAAAGTATTGCAAATTCTAAAGTGCTATTAGAGTATCATCTAGCGCATTTAAAAGTAAATACTTACATTTAAATAGCAAGTAAAAATTTTAAATTTAATAAATATTTTGTGTGCTCTTCGCTTTACAGGAAGTTGAACAATTACGTCAAAATAAATTAGAAATAGATCAACAACTGCGCGCAATACAAGAATCTGGCATGGGTTCCACACAAAACTTTCCAGTACCCCGTCGTTCAGAAAGAGGTTATAGTAGTGATATCGAATCAGTACGTTCAAGTCGTGGCGGCGGTGGTGGAGGTGGTGGCGGCCGTGGTCGGGGTAGAGGCAGAGGTAACAGTAATCAACGTTTCCAAGGTTAGTATAATATTTTTAAATTTTTTTTTTCATATTTCACTATATTATTTTTCTATTATAGGTCGTCGAAATGATGAAGAAGAATATAATAACAACCGTAACGACCAACCACGTGATCAACGTTTCAATGAACGACGCAACAGTTATCGTCGTTTAGCGAGAAATGACCAAAATGGACGTAATCACTATATGAATCATAATGACGATGTACAAGAAGTACGTGAAGTAAGCAGTGTTGAAAGAGGTTAGAAATATATTTGTTATATTTTTGTGAAAATAATAGTTTAAACAAGATAATTTTTCATAGCTGAAAGCTTATCATCTTATGAAGGCAATGTTCGTCGTCGTCGGCGTCTCAATCGTAACAATAGTGAGTATGATGTCGCTTATGTTTTTCTCTATTTACTTTAAAGATATAGTATAAATTATTATAGTCTGAATAATAGAATATTATGTGTTATTAAAATGATTCAATTCAATTGCTGGTGGGTAGGCAAATATATCTAATTTTTAATTCAGGCATAAAAGAGGTTAAGTTGAAATGAATTATAAATCTTTTTTTTCTCTTATAAATCGAAATCAAAATAAACATAAATAAAATAGGTGTATAGATCTTAATAAGTTTTTCAAGTAGTAATTAATTTTTAAATTTTTATCTAAAGATAAAGGTGAGATAAAGATCTTTAAAATTTTTAAAAAGAGATTGATTATTAGATTGTATTAGCCTTAGTTCAAGTTGTTATTTAAAATTTTATTTATTCATTATAGTTAATAGTAAAACTATAAACAAGAATTTTCTTATTTGTATTTTTGATTGCTTTATAGATTTCTCAACTGAATTATTTGGCCTTTGAACGGATTCATATTAATAATATAAAATAAAAATATATAAAAATTTTTATATATATATATATAATTCTCATTCACTATTAATTATATTTTTTTATTATTATTGTGTTCTGAAGGGCTCGATGATGTAGATACAATAAAATTGCAAATTATAGAAATAATAATGTATTCTTCTTACAGAATTTCAATTTTAGAAAAGTATCTATTATATATAAAGTATCGCTCGGAAATATTGATAATGTATCAGTAGCAACTCAATAATATTTTACTCAAGTCAATTTCTTTTTTAGATGAACAAATTGGAGTACAAGAATTAGATAGAGTAAGTTGCTTCAAACTGTAATATTTTACTAGTAATGTTCATTAAACAATATCTAGTATGCTTTACTACTTAAAAAGAATTATGTACGTAATTCTTCTATGTCATATACAAAATTATATGCATATTTTTGCGATTAGTACTCAATCACAATTATAATAATTTTTTTTATTATATTCTCATACATATAAAATAATTATTATGATATATTAATTTATGTATGGACTTGATTTTGCTTAAATAAAATCAAAACATGACTTAATTTTTGAATTCTAGTAAATATTGGTTTTAGGATCAATTTTGGAAATAGAATGCAATAGATTTCGAATCATAAAAAAATAAATCTAGAATAATTTTGATGCCATTTCGAAAAAAAAAATTCAAGAACATAGTATATACTTTGCATACTTTGTGGGCGACCAATTAAAAATATTGGTGATCTAATTCTTGTTGTCGACTCAGTAACCTTCTGCATATTGAGGGGGGTGAGTTGCACCTCACTAGTGCACTTACTTTATTTTTGTTACAAGTACAAATAAGTTAGCTTAAGTCATACAACTGTAGACAGGTCGATGCCTCATTATGATCACGAATCTATCTGTGTCATAGACATGATTGATACACTATGTTATAGCAGGGTAGTGTTACGGTTGTATAGTGCATTTATTAAGTTAGTGGTAAATTTCTACATTTCAAATTTTGGTATTGATTTAGTGTACATAAAGCTAAAGATGTAAAGAGAAGATTTCTTTTGGGTATTGGTGAACTCGACGATTGCCGCAGGGATGTTGAACCGCCCATATATAGAACCTATTTAGCTCTGTCTCAGTGAAGTGACAACTTCGAGACAAGTTGATTTCAATAACAATATTACCTCCAATCCATTTTTACTTCTAAACAACCCATGCATATGTATTTTTTATTCCTCTCATGTTATCTGCTTGATAGTTCAAGCTCAGGTTTCCACAATTACAAAAGTTAACTTTAAGTTTCGATATCTCAAGGGGTAATCTGTATCGATATATACAATAGCTAAAAATTATCTTAAAGTAGATAACTCTAGTAAATCCTTTGTCAAAACAACAATCTACTAAATCCGGGAAATGCTATGACGCCGTTTTTATATATTAGATTAAAAACTATTAGACACTTATGCACTATATGATAATTTAATAAAACTGGATATAAGATCAGATTTATACACTATATAATTATTCAAATAAAATCAGTTATCGCGCCAGGTTAAAGCTTTTATGATATATTGGCGAGGTCAATATATAAAATAAAAGCATAACTAAAAATATATATAAGAATATGTTTTGAAGTTTTTTCCTACCGAAAAATATTGAATTTTTTTTTGAAAAATTTATATTAATTTGATTTTTTTTAATTTACTTTCCAGCGAATGGAGGCGTTGCCAATAACAAATCCAATTGGCAAAACAAACCACCTCAAAACACAGATAACAAGAGCAGCGGTGGGGGTGACAGTGGCAGTGGGGGCGGTACTGGAAATTCAGCGGAACGAAACAAATCGAAAGAAGGGAATAATACAGGCAATAAACTGAATAACGATAAACCACAACAGCAGCCGCCACAGCCACAACAACAACAACAACAACAGCAATTATCACCAAATCAACAACAGCCGCGTCGTCGAATACGCCGACAACAACAACAACAGCAGCAGCAGCAACAACAACAACAGGATAACAATAAAAAGGAAACACTTGTAAATGGTACATCCTAATTAATATTTTTAATATTATTAAATTATTGATATAGTTAAAAACAAATAAAAATATTTTAAAATAGACAAAAACAACCAGGAAAAAAGTTGAGGATGAGCAGCCAAAACAAACAAGTTCAGTTAAAAAAAAAAAATAAAAAATTATAATAATAATAAAAATAAAAATGAATTTGATTAATTGGCGAGAATATGTGTTTAAACCCACGTAAACCAAAATTTATATAAAAAGAATAATTATATTAAAATAAATAATAACTGCAAAATAAGTTCTTTTGTAATAAATAGAATAGAAAATAAAAAAAAAACATTAATATTTTAATTTAAAAACAAAAAAAAAATAACCATAAAAAATATTGAAATAGAAATAAAAATAAAAATGAGTTATTACAAATAATAATAATATACAAAACAAAAACAGAAAAAAAAAATAGGAGTTGTAATAAAGCAAAAAAATTGTTATAACATTTTAAAAAAATATCAAAAAATATATATATATAAATAAACACATATATAAATTATAAAAAAAGCAATTGTCCAGTACAATTCAAAATAAAACGCATATGCACTGCAACACATTCATCGATAATTATCCATACAATCATGTCTGCGTGCATAAAATGGTCCATTTAATTAAAGTTTTTCGATTATTAAATATTTAATAATTAAAAGTAATATTTTTACAAATTTCAAAAAAAATTTTTATAGAATTCAATTGAACTTTAATTACTTAGAATTAACTTCTATCATTTCGCCTCTCATTTCAAACAAGTAAAATATTACTAAGTCAAATAAGTCGTTGCATTTTTAAAAAAAATCAAACTTTAAAAATGCTTTCTTTACACTATTATTTTTGTTATACGTTAAATATATATTTATCATTCTTTTTTTATTTTCTTTTTGTTTTTGAATTAGAAATTCGATAATATCAATTTAAAAAATAAAATCTAAAGGAATACTCTCCTTTATGATATATAATATATTTTTACTGAATGAAGTAAAGTTTACAGGCATGTTCTTAAAATATTTCACATAAATATTTTTAAATAAAACAATCTATTATAATTAATGCAAAAAAAAAAAAATTAACAAGCTGCGCTTATAAAATATAAGAATTAAAATTTATATATAAGTTTTAAGATATGAATCCTTAAAAATATTCATTTATATAATGCAAAGTAAAAGAGAAATATGTTCACTGCACTGAGTTGAGTTTATGTTATCGAAGTTCTATATTTTCATTTAAATTAATTTATTTATAAATATAAAAATAAAAAAAAATTATGTGTAAGAAAATGTAGTTGCAAAACATATATACATTATTAATATTTTTTTTTTTTTGTGTATAAAGAGTGTTATACATTTATATTATGCATATGTAATTTAATTTAATTTTTATTTTCAACCAGTGCGCTTAGCTAACTTTAAATAATTTAATACTCTTTATAAATTTATTTATGAAATCTGTATTTTAATTTTAAATTTAATAAGCAAACAAAACAAAAAAAAATTAAATATCTTACTGAAATTGAATATAAAAATATTGTTATGTTATACGATTTAAGTAAGTGTATTAAAAAGTAAGTCTCATATTACTTTTGTATATTAAAATGGAATTTATATTAAAAATATAAATTATATATTAACTTTTGTTAAGTAAAAAATAAATACGAAAAACAGAAAAAAAATATTGCGAAATTATTTTTTTAATTAATTAATATTAATTAACAAGTTTTAAGATATAAATTACATTTTTAATTAACATTGACTAACAATATAATGATGACTTATTTAACTAGCATTAAATATATTTTATATAACAATAACACTATTTTTGGTATTTGCAAAGCATGTCAGTAAAAAAAAAACAACACCATTATATACATAATAGAATTATATTTAAAAAACATAGGTATAAGAAATTCGAACAAAACTTTAGTGTAACTGAAATAAAAAATAAAATTCTTATAACTAGTAAAAATTAATTAAAAATAAATAACTATAATAAGGAATAAAAACTAAAATAACACAATATAAAAAAGTATTCAAAATAAATATGTATTTTTAATTTTTAGTAAAACTAAAATTGAAAAAAAAATTTATATAAAATAATAAATAAAGTGGTTTTTAGTGAAATACGAAAAAAATGTAAAATTTACTAAATTATTAGTGTACCCCACAAAAAAACAAACAATTATTATTTTATTTAAATTAATAATTAGTAAGACTAAAAAATTAATTAATAAAAAAACATTAATGTAATTTATTTTGCATACGATTTTATGGAGAATAAAGATTGCTTTTCTTTAAAAATATTGATAGAAATAAAAAAGAATTAAAATATAAATGAATTAATTTAAAAAAGAAAAAACAATTATTTTGCTTATATTTGAAATTAGTAAAACTAATGAATAATTAATAATATTTATTTTACTTTAAATTTATATATATAAAAGAGAAAACAAATTACAAATATAAATTAATATACATAAAAATAAAATAAAAAATTGTAAAATAAAAATAGTTAAAAATAAACAAGGGTTATAATAATGCATAAAAATGTAAATGTAATTATTCGCTTATTTTTAAAACAAAAATAAAATATTTACTTAAATATTTACTTAAATATTTTATTTTTACTTAAAAGTTTTATTTTACATATTATAATAATTATTTTAATTTAAAAAAAATATCCTGATAATTATTTTTTTTTTCTTTATTTTCTCATAACTGTAGAATTATTTGATAAATCCATTAATGTTATGTTATTGTTATAAAATTTATAATATAACAAAAATAACGCATATGCTTGTGAAGAAAATATTTTCCTAATTCTTATTAATTTTAGTTATATTTTTATTTAAATTAAATTTCCATTTAATCTGTTAAAATATATAACAAATTTAATGTTGTACATTGTTAATTTTTTATTTTTCATTTTTATATCATAACAATTAAAATAGTTATTAATAATATTTATTTTTAGTGTTGGATTTAAATTAAACTATTCGATGAATTGAAAAAAAAAAAATAAGTTCCCGTCCGTAGATAAGCATGGAAATTGGATATATTCATTTTGAAAATTATTAAATAGCATATTTTTTTATACATTAATAATGAATTAATAATAGTTTTTAAAAATTCTTATCTTACTATTATTTTCCTTACTTTTAAGTTAGATTGAAATATTCTGCCCTATTTCAATAAAAGCTGGCAAAAGTTGATATAAGGCATTAAATTCAACTCTATAAATTTATGCAAAACAACATAAATTCATATATTATGTTCACACCATATGACTACAGTAAATTTTAAAGTTATATGTTTTCATATATATATGTTTCATATATGTTTTTAATTGACAAAATAGTGAATACTTCAGACCTGTATATGTTGGTAATCTAATTCATTTGTGTATGGAATAACTAATACTTTCAGTAATATTCTAACCGTTAGAAATTTAAATGTTCGAATGACACATCGAATTCGAAAAAGTTCGAACGACATATCGAATTCGAAAAAGTATGAATCACATATCATATTCGAAAAAGTTCGAACAACGTAACGTGCTTAGTCATTTATTGTTATACATATACAGATAAAACAAAATTAGAATACTATTAAGGAAATGAATGGATAATTCAAACAGATTTCTTTAATTTTAATATTTGAAGTTTTTAATCTTAATATTTAAATTCGAATATAATTAAATGAACATCGTAATGTTCAAAGTTTCAGTTAGAGCCTCACATCTTCAAATAAAACCTCGGTGCGTTAAAAAGTCTTCACTGATAACTATAAGTCATGTAAGCTTAAATAAAGGACTTATAGCCATTTTATGCAAACGCCTATTTCGAAAGAAGTACTGCCTTTCCGTTTGTTTTTGTACTTTACATCTACCATAACGCTTATAGAATTTGATGTCAAATTACAACAAAAATGTAAATATAATTATATTTTGTTGTGTTAAAATATTCAATAAAAGTTATATCAGCTTAGAATATGGGCTATGGGTTCCGAGATATTGCAACGTGCCATCATTTATGCTCAACTGCGCTTTGGTGCACAAAGTCTTTACCCCAAACTTGCCTATCCAAGGCTATGGGTTCTTGAGAATTATCGAATGTCTTTTTTTCGAACTACAATATTTCGCAATAGTGTTTCTATATTATAAATTTTTTATACGTAGATATATTATATATACACTAAAATAACATTAACAATTTTTTATGTAATTTAAATATTTAAATCATTTGAAATATTACAGCTCAAGAGAAATAATTCTAATATTGATTCATGTTGAATTATATAAATATATTATTTTATGTTTTTATTTTATTTTTAAATAAATTTTTTTTATATAATTTTTAATGTCAAAATAAGAAATGGTTAATAGTTAAGTGGATTTATATAGCTGTAGTTTATGCACATTCTTTATTATAATACCACAAATCATTTATTGCTGCAACTCTATTTGATGTTCGCAATTTGATTTTTATGTTGACTTAGTGGGTTAAAATGCGAGACTACGTTATAGTTTTGGTAGGTGCATCCATTGCAGCTTAGAAATTATAAACGAAAAATTTATGTCATTTGGATGAGATAATAGATATTTGGCGGTATCCGAAACAGTTACATGGACAGCAAAAGATTCATTTAATCAAAAATAATATTTTTGTAGTTAAGAATTTCTTCACAATGAACTAATTCTATATATTTTCACGTTTTCATGCTATCATTTTCATTACAATCAATTATCATTTTGATATTTTCCAAATTTTTAGTGCTGTTAGCTGCCTCTTTGACCTTTGTTTATTGTTTATTTTAATATATTTATTTGAGTAAATTTGAACACTGACTACATACTTGAGTGAAATTCAGCATCTTATTTCATAAATGATATGAATTTAAGTCAAATCATATGCAGTGTGACATTAACAATATGTGACTTAATTTATTTATTAAATATTATTAAGAATTTTGATTTAAAAATTAACTAATGCGAATTTTTGTTGTGATTTAATCCGTCAATTTTGTGAGATATTTGATTTTAATAATTTATTCAGTTCTTAATATATAAAAAAATGGTTAAACAATATTTATAATATTTACATCTTTAATTAAATTTTGTTTGTTATATATATTCAATAGTGATTCTACGGATCGGGTGTATTTAATTGGTTTTAATAATGCCTATAAAATGTATATTTAGCATATCTTAGAAATATTATTGAAACTGTTGGTTGTTGACTTTTCAAA